GCCAAAAAGGCCATAACATGCTGAGATGATTAATCAGGAACTTTTTGTTACCCGGCAATGGCAACAAAGTGTACACCATAAAGTGGGGTGTGGTGCGTTAGGAACGAAATGGTCGCGTCGCGGTGAGAGGGGCGTCGCGCGCGAAGGAATGTAGTAGGATGCAGCAGTAGGTAAGAAATACAAGAACAAAAGTACTAATAGTAGAATTATGCATAAAATAATGATCGCATATCGATTGAGCTGTATGAAGAACGCTAGAGCTGTAATAACGGCGAATTAGTGGTCCGCGACAGCCGCGTGCGGCGAATCGATTACCCAAAATCGTTACTAACGCCCGTCTCCCCCATAATGTGCCATAATTGAGAGTTCTGTATACTTTACTGGGAACTACTGACTATTGCGTTCTACCCGAGTAAAAGGTGAAGACATTCCCACAATGAGTTCAAAGGAAATCGACAGCTTTGACGTTGATTCAAATCACAGAGTGGAAAAAGTCCAACAAATTCATATATACATAAACGATGTTACACCCACCAAGTTATTATTTTGTAATTTCATAATTAAGGAATTACAGTAACCACAATGAGTACGTGTTCCATAAGTGTTATGGAACTTGCAGATAGTAGTAGTAAAGTATTGTTGTTATGACCATCATGTTGTTGTTCTGTTTTGCCCACATTACTAGTTATACTTGTCAACAAAGGAACTACCATTTGACATAATGATGCGCCCCGTGAAGCATTGCGAACACCCGTCACCTGATTATGAAGAGGATCGCGAAGGAATTGGCATTTATTTCCTCATTTTTCTCTTTATATGTCACTTGATCATATTTATTAGGGCAGGGGTAGTGTAGTGGCAAGTGGCGCACAATCACACACGCGGTCACGGGTTCGAGTCCCGGACTAATATTCGTCTGAGCCAACCATCCCTATGTCCTTTCGGGATCGGCTAATTGGTGCCAGACTCGTCGGGGAGGATAAAAGCACTGACTTGTACATCGGCTGGTAACCGCAAGTCATTTTATAGGCCACATACGCATTCAATACACCACTACGATAATAAGCCCTTGTGAGCATGGTGTACCGACTTCTCTGGGCCATGCTATTAAATCGGTTGGAGTAGTGCCAAGTAGTGTGTTATCATACAAGCAATGTCCGAAGATCGATCCCCGAATGATAACCCCCCGGATCAACCAAGCCTTCCATCCCAAGCCTCAGTAAGCTGGTAATAACACATAAATGCGACTCGTACAATCAATGTATAGACCACATATCCATCTAAACTTCACTACGATCTAAAATAAAATTTGAATGTATATAGGAGCACATTTTCCACTGGGGATCCCGATCACTTTATCGATTGATCATGCTAAAAAAATTTTACTGTCTAAGTACATGGCAAGTATTTTAGGATTACAAATTATTCAAAAAAATTATAAAGGGTAAAAGGATAAAGTTTTTGGCTTCAATCAATCCCGTCTGAGGGA